CACACCTGCAAAACTAACATTATCATCAATCTCAGTTACACATTGTGTTTAGTGCTAATTGGCAATTTAGAATGTATAAACAACAATTTGGATTCTGATAAATATTTTTTCAGACATTTATTGGCTGGGTTGCACCAACAAGGATTAATTTAATCTAAGATCGGCTCTAATCACAGTTCAGTAAAACTAGGTTTGTAGTGAGTAAATCCAGATTTAATCCCAGTTATTAGTTTAGTTTTTAGATTTAGTTCAATCCCAGAATTAATCCCAGTTTAACTAAACTAAGTTTGTTTATCTAAACAGAATTTAAACTGAGTTTAATCAGTGGGGACATGTGTTATATCAAAATTAAAATAGTAAACACATAAACAAATACTTATAAATAAATACAAAGATAAGCAGCATGCTGTCAGCATCTGGTAAGGGGGGAGGTAAACTGCTAAAACATTTTTGCTTTTCTGTAACAATAAACTTTACATTGTTGTGGATTAGTTAGAAAGTTGCTCTAAAACAGTTTCCTTGACAAAAATTCAAGTGGGTTGAGTCTGTCTCTCAACTTTTTCCGTTATGAGCACAAGTTTCATTTCAGCTCAGTGTGGGCGTCTCTTGTTCTTTATTTTTGATCATTTTGCTGGATCCATCTCAAAAAGACAGACATTGTAAAAGTTAAACCTCCTCAGCTGTAGGCTTAAAGTTAAACCTGGCTCACAGTTCAAATTGGAATTTAAAGTTTTGGTGCAACAGAGTTAAATTTAATCTAAGTTTAGAGTAAAAGCTGAACTGAGATTTAAAGGGTAGTTTAAATCTAATGTTTTTAAATTTCAAGCTAGTTTTAAAGCCTAAAAGAAAACTGATAACTTGAGAAAAGAAGAAAAGGACAATGAAAGATGATGTCCATCTCACGTGTAGTTGTGATCAGAGAACATAGTTTAGGTATGGGAAACAGCTTCCTCTTCCTCCCTACGTCATGCCTCTGCCTCTTTGTTACATGCATGTGAAATTTAAACACCTCAAAATGCACAATTGATGTCAACAAGAGTAAAAGAGCTGATGTTTCATTGTTCCCTGTGAGCTGGAGGTGACATTCACAGTTCCCAAGTGAACTTGACCCGGTCCTGATCTCATGTGACAAACACTAGCACCTCAAAAGAGATGCGATGGCTCTCTGACGGTAGTGTTTTGATTTTTGTTGTGTGAGAGTTTCCTTTAAGAAACCTGAAACTGAATAATCATCAGTGATGATGAGGTGTATGTTAGCTTCTGACATCAGTATGAGGCCTTTACATGTGACAGCTAACCTAAGGGGAATATCTTTCATTCTTGTTGCAGCATGTAAGATGTGAATCTACTGTGTCACATTGTAAAGACATGTGACAAATGACCCTATTTCTCATGAAGAACTCACAATAATGAAGTTCTTCCTAAACTGTAGCTCCAGTAGATTTCTCATGAGGCTCTGTTTACAGCACGAAAGCTAGATTGGTCTCTTGGGTGAGAGTTCCCTTTGAATACAATCACGTGATGTGTTATAACATGAATAAAATTATATTTAATAGACTTTGTTTTTATGTTTTGTGCATCAGATATGTGGTGCTGCACTGTATGTGCAAATCTGAAGGAGGGAGAATACCAACAGCATAATCTCACATGAGCTATTTTTTGGATTGTGTGTGGTATCTGTGCTCAAAACAGCCATTTGTCAGATGGTGACACATAACAGGACCAGCAGAAGAACCATTTAACTGGTCACAATCTAAAAATGAAAGAACATTTTGTCCCCCTTTCATACTGCCGCCTACGTAGCCCCATGAGAGAGCGGAGATTTTACACAATGAGCCCATTATCGCCTATTTACTTCTGTCTTCTGTCTTCTGACGCGGGGATAAACCAGTGGTGGTCACACACAGGTCAACACACAAAGCACACAATGGAGCAATTGCAGGCTTGTGATGCAGATGTGTGAGTGTTTGACGCTGTTTTGGTGGGTCTGGAGTTTTATCTCCTGCAACACATGATTTACCCCAGACTTCTGACCTCTAACAATATCATGCATGTATGTGTATATCCTTGAAAAAAGACATAAAAATAGGAGAGATGTTTTGCATCTCTCTGCAGTGCTCTGCAGTTTGATTTAACTTCCTCAAACATCAGCCTGAGTTTTTGGATCCTGTTGTTTGGCCACTGTCCCATCCTGTCTGCCTGATTCAGCATGAGTAATATCACTGCTGCACACTGGTGATTTCAAGACTGTCCCTCTAAGTTGGAGTCTGTCGCTGAGTCACCATTTAGAAGAGAGTAATTGTAGGTGGCAGCGCTACGGGGGACAGACAGCACAGACAGCAACCAACCCATGAATTGATGCTGCTGACATATGCAGAGTCATCCTCTGTTGTGTCAGCACTCCATCCCTTAAGGACAGACCAGCGTTAAGCTTGTAATAACTGAGTGGCTTATTCAGACTGCAGGTGTTGGAGCCAGGAGGGACAAAGTAGGCTTTGACTAACCTCACAGGTGAGACAAACCCTCAATACTCTTTCATTAAAACTTAATCTTTTTGTTGGACCCATTTACCAGCCAGGTGCACTGGAGGCTCTAAACTCACTGTACACTCTCTATCTACATTCTTCTCTGCATCCTGCTTGCATGTGCATGTCTATTTGTATACATGCCCTTTAAAGATCCGCGTAATGCAGTTGCTCTAAGCCATTGATTTAACAGCCGTGACTGTCAGGGACAGAACGATAAAACTGATTGAAGCGCACTGTTTACACACAAGGAGATTTGTAGTTAAACTGAATGGATGATCACCCCGATGTGACGCTGGAAATCCTGCGTGCAGCAGGGAGATACACAGCGGCTGAACATCTGGAGGTGGGTTTGAGAGGGGTGAAGCAGAAATCGGGATTAAATCAGAAAGCAGTGCATGAAAAAAAACCTCTCAGTGTTAATCAAAACATGACAGTGCCGTGGTTTGTGTACATGTATTTACATCAGTGCATTCAGCTTTGGATACTATTACACAGGCACACAGTTTCACATACATAATATAGATGGATAGATACAATTCATTGTCAGAAATATACCTGATTTGGCTCAAAACAACCCATTGTTGTTGGGCAAAGTTAACCAGCATTGTGTTAACAATGATGTGATTTTAGCAGTGGTGGACTCAGGATGTCTGAGGGGCAGGGGAGAAAAGAATAAAAGGGGCACCAGCATGCAGAAAGTTTGCTAGCATGTAGCACAGCCTACATGACATTCATGGATGGATTAGGTGACAATGAGCCCCTGGGCACAGACATGCAGAAGGTCCCACGACCTCTCCTACACATGAGCTAGACACACAGACTTTATAGACATGTAGCCTCGTTTTGTTCTTGTTTCACATCTCTCTCTGGTTGTGTGCCCTTTGTGGCCATTTTGTGTTTCTGTAGTTTATGTTTCTGTGGCCTGTTTTTGTTATTGCTCAGCATCTCTTGGCAGTCATTTTAAGTCCATTTGTAGATGTTTTGAATCTCTTTGTAGGTGCTTTGCATCTCTTTATGGTCATTTTGTCTCTTTGTGGTTGTTTTACCACTTTTTGAAGTTGCTATGGGCGATGGCGTATGGTAGTTAGGACGGGCCTTAGTGTATGCTATTATAATGCTCCCTAGTGCAAGACTTTGTATCTAAACTGGCTACAACTTGACAATGGACAACGTCAACATACATATTACACAGTAACCATCAGTGCAAATCTATATTTTTAGCGTTTATTTCTGGTTTTATAGATCACGTAAAGTAAACATATCATTTTAGTGTAGAATAGATTGCTACTGACTCATGAAAAAAAAAGAAGAAACTATAATGGAAATGGGTTTTCCTTTATGTGAGCATACAGCAGTTGGCCCCCACATTTTTAGTCTAACGTGAGTTCTTCCTTGAATATGGGTGTGTTTCTGAGATGACAATCTCAATGATTTACAAGAGTCTGTTCTCTGGGGAACATACTATTGGAGGTACTGCTCTCTCAGCCCCCCTGTCCAATGGGCCCCTGTGCAACCGCACTGCCTGCACTGTCTGTATTTACATCCCTGGTTGCGAGTCTCTGCCCTTTGCAGCTGTTTTGCATCTCCTTATTGTCATTTTATGTCTCTTTGTTGTCATTTTGAGTCTCTTCCTGGTCGATATTGAGTAATTTGAGTGACATTTTGCAGGTGAAGGCCATGGGGGCCCCCTGACACTTTCATTAATCCATCCTTCTGTCACAGCATGTTTTTACTGAGGTGCTGTTTTCAAACATGGGGGCACCATGTTTTGCCTCCAGTGAGGTTTAGTAGGCCCACTGACCCTCAAAAGAGGAATGAAACTATAAAAACATACATAAATAAAATCTTAGAATTGAATTTAAACTAAAAACTAAGACCATACTAATATTCTGAACATAGTTCGTGCATGTCTACTTTATATTGTCCTGCATTGGTATGACAAGGTGCATGAATATACTGGATGCTGCTGGTACCCTGAGACCAGGGTCTAGCTGCACTCCAAACTAGCTGTGAGCCTGTTGCTATCAGTATTAATATCACTATTATTGCTGCAGTATATCTGTTTTTATGACCACTTTCCATTGCTGTCACTGCAGTCGGCAGGGTTCCAACAGAGAGCCATATATATACACTGCACTGTTAAGACTTCATATTGGCTCAACCTCCCTTTTCAAATCCACAGTATCTGAGAGATTTAGAAACACTTAGTTGTGATTTGTAGTTTGCAGAGATCTATTGAAGCTGGTGGTGGCAATCAACCCAGGCAAAATGTTTGTATGCGCAAAACTAACCTGACTGCTAATTGGGATTCCGACTGAAGCCCTCGGACCAAATCAAACTCAAATTGTCCTATCAGCAGGGAGAGTGTCACCGCGCCAGATCTCCCCTGTGTGGCCCGGAGAGCGGAGCGCAGCGCAGCGCGGCGGCCACTGCGCCTCATATGAGAGCTCTGCTGTGTCTCTTTAAGTACAGCAGGCAGTGCTGTTGGTCCGTGTGGCAGACACAGGCAGCGCAGGGCGCACGGTGCGGCGCTGCCTCTCCGCAGCGTCAAACAGCCTTCACATCGGACAGGCGACAGAAAAGACAGGTCGACCCACCGCCTGCATCACGTCCACGTCTGTGAACAGTTGAGGGGAGCGAGTGGAACAAAGAGTGGACCGTCTCAGCGCGGCTGGGGATGATGAGGACTGGTGGTGAGCCTACAGGGCCATTAACATTACTCCCTCCTTCTTCTCCGACTGGGTGCTAGAAGCGTGTAGCGGTTTGTCTGCGGTAGATTATTGAACAACACTGAGTGACTAAACGAGCTAATGAGATTGGCAAACTGGCGTCAGTTATCTGCGGATGAAAGCCCAGTAAAAACAGCCTATCAGAGAAAATATTTTTTGTTGCTGAATGATCGTGGAGATGAAACATGTTTGAGAGATCCTCCGCTGAGTTGCGTCCTGTGAACTGCATCAAACCATCTGCTGCTGGAGCGTCCTCTTGACTCCTGTTTTAGGTAAGAGGAAGTCACTACACATGTTAAATTTGATTTGATAAAAAAAAAAACACACCGAAGAAAAGCTGTTGTGTAGCAGCTCAGAATCAGTCCTGTCAGATGTAGGGCGGTTTTACAGAAGTCTGTGTGGACTCCCAGTGAAGCTGCACTCCGGCATTAACACTGCTGGTTAACATCCTTGAGGTAGACCATAACCCACAAACCCAGAGACCAGTTTTCCAGAATTTATTTCAGTATTTTTACTGTGTTGAATGAGCAAGGAAGCTGCCACTTGCTCCAGGAAACCCTGAACAGTAGCTGCAGGTATTTCAAGGCCAGCTATGTTTTGATTAGACTGAGCCTCAGGTGATAAAAATACCTGAAGGAAGTAGAAGTAGTGCCCTAATCTGCCCTGTCTGTTTCCAAACACCACACAGTAGCATGTCTGTTTATGGGACTCACTTGGCTAACACAACTGAGATGTTTGTCTTAATATTTTCCTGTAATATTTGCACTTGTAGTGCTTGTATATGCTGACAGACGTGAAGGTGTCCCTGCTCTCTACCTAGTGCATTATCATGTTCAGTGGGCAGTACAAATGCATTAGTCTCTAACCAGATGCCCACAGGCTGAACACCCTCATCATTTTCCCCAAAGTGTGAAGTCGCTGGGCTTTCATTACAGCTCTCCTGCTAATTTTTAACCAGAGCTGCAAATCAGAAACAGACAGAGCCTAACCTGCATTTCCACTCCTCATCCGTCCCCTCAGAATCTAATTGTGGATTTGTCTGGATTTTAGTGTCATCAGCGTGTGCAGAACCTCACATATTTTGTTCTCTGAAGCTGTTTATTTATTCATGTTGTAGAAAAAGAGTTCAGCTCTTTTGTTTGACAGTGTTTGTCTATTGTTTTTGGCAAATATTCTCTGATTTCAGTTTTTCAGATGAGAGGATGTGCTGTTTTTCTCTTTTTTGTATCATAGTAAGTGGAATACGTTTGGGGTTTTGTCTTGCTTTTTTTTGGACACAACAAGATTTTTGTCACCATGGTTTCTGAGAAATAAAAAAGGGCATGTTTCACTATTTTCCTGACACTTTAAAGAAGTAAATCAAGAACATAATATGCAGTTTTTCAAAAGATGGGAAAGTTGGATAGTGTATAAAACACCTATACATTCTTCTTTTTTTTGTAGGGTTACAACAATAAAAAAAACAAAAACATACAACCAATAAGATACAAAAAATCCCAGCAAACTACAAGACGGGACAAAGGGAACAAGGACAGAGGGAAAACAACCGAGACAGAGCATTATATAAATATGTGGATGCGTGTTTATACACAAAAATATAAATGTGCATGATACATATTTTACGTGGTACAATATCAAATTGTATTTTATGTTATGTACACTAGTTGACACCTCATCAAGTCATCAGTACGTCAGGTTACAGTAGTATAAGGACCCCATATTTTCATGTAGATGTCTTGCCTATCTGTTAGCTTGTAACATAGTCTTTCACTGATATATCAACTTTAGCTTTCCAATGTCGCAGCACTATTCTGCATCCCGTAATAAGGCCTATCCTGCACCATAAGATTACACCTATATGTTCTTTATTTCTTTAAGGTGATTTTTTTTAATTATCTTTTTTTGTAAAGTGAGTAGAGTATCACAGGACACACCCCAACACTCAGGTTCTATATATTAAGTTTGTTTTTCCTGTGTTCGTACCTGTATTTATGTTTACTTTAATGGTCCTTCCTCAGCTTCTGTATAATCTACTTTAGCTCACTTTTATGCTACCCTCTGCTACAGCTGTGTTTTACAGAAGACTAGGGAAAGATAAGGCTATTAAGTCTTTTGAGGACAATTAAGTTGTTTGTCTGGACCTTGGTTTAACCTGGTAAATTGAGAATTGAAAAAAAAAGAAGATAATATGCAGACTAATCAATAATGAAAGTAACTGTTACACTACTGATCCTCAGCTGTTGAAGCCAATGACTTACAGGGTAACACCTAATGATTCTAAGTAAATTATGCAAATGCAGCGGCCTCCTCTCCCCCCTCATTGTTTCTGATGACCTCGGTGTACTGTAGATCACTGTATTGAACCAACCACTCAGTGCGAAGTGTCCAAGCTGAAGAAGAAGACCATAATGGTTGTTAAGATTGATCACAATGCTGTTAAAATCAATCCATGAATGGCACTAATTGCTCATGCTGCTGCCATTTCAGCACTTGGCATGACAGTAAATAAAAAGCATAGAGCATGACAGACCTCTTGTTATGGCACTCAGTTCATAGCTCCTGAATCTAGACCGAGCAGAACTGATCGATATCATGAGCGTCACTGTGAAATAAAAATCAAAGCTCCTCGTCCACCGTATTCTAATTTAACCCTCTGGTGATGGGAGTTTTTTATCACATTATTATATAGTAATGTGGTTTCACCTGCACATGGCAGAAAGCTGTGGACACTCATTTAAAAAATAAAATCATTTAGATTTTATTGTTCGTAACAGTGGCTGTGTTGTCCCGTGAGCTCAGTCCTCCCTGAGGCAGAGGGGAACAAACGTCAGAGGAATATGCCAACAACTGGAAAACATATTTCGCTGGCGAATGAGAGGGTGCTGTTACCACTACTGCTGTTGCTTTAGTGAACAATCAGGGTCAAAGTCACAGCATTTTGCATCACCAAAGCCCCTCTGGGATTCAAGTGGAGCATCAACCTTACCGATTGCACCAAAAAAGCTTGAATCCTAAAAGGAAAAAAAATCTTTTGTAAACTTGATGTTGAAGTTTTTCACACACGCTTTGCAGTGGCTGCAGAGGAGAACTTGAAAGTTGCTCAGATAAGAAGTCCTTTGTGTAGCGACGGGGTGGCCGGCAGCAGAGTGAGAAGGCTTTGAATTCCTCCGGAGCTTATCTCTTCATCCTCTTGGTGACCTCTCAGGGACATGCCATGGATCATATCCAATGGCCCGCAGGCTTTGAAGATCGCCAGAGGAACTGACAGGAATTACAGTTTGCATGCTTGTGCTAGCCATTACAGTGAAATAACAGTGGTGCAGTGCGAGCTGTGTGTAAGCTGGGTGGTGTACTCACTCCTGATATATCACCATCAAGAAAGGATGTCAAGATCCTCATTAGAGCTCCTACAAAAATAGCTTGGCATTAAATAGCCTGCTGTCTTCGCCAAAGACGTGCTGAAAGTTTCATACTGTTTATAGAGTCTGACGCTCTAAAGCAGAATAGCATTAATACAGTCAGTGACTTCAAATTCTATTTTTATTGGTGTGAATTTAAAACCCACAGGGGTATGCCAAATTTTATTAAAGTTTAGAATAGCTTATTTTGCTCTTCCTCGAAAGAAAAGATGATCTTTGAAAGAGGATAATCTTTAAAACTGTGTTATGGTCACACAGATCCGTAGTAGAGTAGAGTAGGTCGGTCTTGCTGCATGCACATCTCAGCCAGATTTTCAGCTTATAGGAGGATTATTCACAACACTGGACCTCTTCCGTAAGACGTATCAAGATAATCACTGTCTGCACAGGTGGTAAGGAAGTACAGGGTGCTGGACATCAGAACCAAAGCCTAAGCTTTAGCTGAAGTCTGTGGGTTTTGATCATAGACATTAAATGTAGATGTGCATTTATTTCAGCTTTATTACATTGTTCAAACTCAGACTCAAACATAGAATTCAGACAACGCTGCCAAGAAAATATATTGTATTAAAGTCCGTCTATGTTTTCCATCCTAACTGCTGCAGTTAGCAGTGACTGAAGAAAAGCTAAATAGCCAATTATATTTTTGACCTGCTGTTCAGGCTTTTCTGTCAGACAGAGACAGGCACCCCGCGGAGGACATGACTGTTGTTTAATCCAACCATGGCTGATATGAAGCGTGAAATGGTGTGTGTGTGTGTGTGTGTGTGTGTGTGTGTGTGTTTGTGTGTCAGAGTCAGGGTGCAAGGTTGTGTATTTCCGTCTTGTCCATCTCTGAACATGCTATATGCAAATGCAAGGCCATCCTGAGTATGTTGTTCTTGGAGGCTAAACCAATTGCAAAAGTTGTTAAATGAAATGATTATTGTATCATATTACATTTTTACACTGAGTGAGTGAATCTATCCTGAATCTTGATAGCTTTGCCTGCGTGAGACTTTGGTTATTGTTTCTTCATCAGTCAGTTTGTTCTCTACACAGAAATAGAATAAGAGAAGGACACACATTCCCATTCAAATCGACGAAGCAGGATGGTCAGAGCAACGGCCATTTTTATTTGTACTACTGCCATTGCAATTGTAGTGGGTGAACTTCTGTATAAACACACCAACTTGTTGCAAGTTTTGCAGTGACGAGCTTTGGTAGAGTATCGTTATGTTTTTAGATAGCAATGCGTTACTTAAATGTTACCATAACTTTTATTTCCCTGTGTCTTTTGCTTGCTATAAAAGGTCCATTGTTTAGGATTTAGAAGGATATATTGGCAGAAATGGAATATGATATGAGTATATATTTTAGGTGTATAAAATCACTTTTTCACATCAGCCACCATAGCGAGAAGCCCATCTGCAAGGAGCAGCATCAGAATTATACTTTTTTTTTTTTTTTACATGAAACTGCTTTATTCAGTGTTTTTACAGATTTACATTACTGGGTCTGTTTGTTATTGAGAAGAAGAGACCTCTGGGGATAATTCAGCTCCCTGTAGAAACCGCCTGAACATCTGGTCTTAAGTAATCAGAGAAAAAAGGTGAGCACTGATTAGCAGGTGCTGGGGTTGCCGCCCTTCTCCAACATGTCAAACTGTGTTGGAGAAACACTGATTTGTAATGAGAAACTGCTTTATTTCGTGTTTGTACTGGTTTAAATTACCTGGTCCATTTGTTTTGGAGAGGAGGAGACCTCTGTGAATGATTCGGCTCCCGGTAGAAACCTCCTGAGCAATGAACACTCAAGGAATTAAAACTGGGAGAAGTTTCAGCTGGTTGCGACCTGCAGTCCTCAACCTCTAG